TGCTGAAATAATTGCTCATCTTGCTGTTGATTTTAGTAGAAATTTGACATAGGTAGCAAAACAGAAGCTATTAAATCTGGCTTCAGAAATTATTGGGGAAAGAAAGTTGAAATAATGATGCATGCTTTTCTTAAGATTGATCTGTGGCATAATATATCAGTGTTTAAGGTTCTTGAGCTTCTCATAAGATCTTTGATTTTTTGATTTTGAAAATACCTTTGAAACATCTTTCCTGTTTCACTGAAAACAACAAGGTAACCAGAGAGAAGGGTAGAAGCTGGGCTTTGGAAAAATCTTTGGAAAAATGCATATTTAATTTTAAAAGGATTTGGCTGCAGAGGTGGCTTTTAACATCTCAGCATTTTGTCTCTGAAGACTGGGTACTTGTCTCCCTGAGATGAATGGTTTATTTGTACATTTGTCAGGGGCAAAATATATAAAAATGATACAGTAGACTTCACAGTTTCAGTTTAAACTGAAATCCCTTTCAGATGCAGAGATTTTAAAGTTTTTTACCTGAAAGAGAATGGGCTTAACAAATCAGATATTTGTGCATATTTACTCTATTTAAGGTTAGAAGAAGATGAATAATCAATGACTGCGAATTAAGATGTCCCAGTCTAATAAGGAGATTAATTTCTCACTCTGAACTCTTCTAATCTTTGTTTCTGTATCAACTCAGCAATGGGCCTAATGGCAAGTAGAGTGTAAGGAATGACAATGAAGAAAGAGAAAACAAAAATGTCTGTTAATCCCACTCAATAAATTCTAAACTTTGAATAGTGACTTCAGTCACATGAGTATACACTGTATGGGATACAGAAACTATATATTCTCTGTCATTTTCCAAAATTCTTATCAGGAAAAAAAGTCCATATTTTCCCTTTTCTGTGAGAAAGTGCAAGTCAAACTTCATGGTTAGTAGCTATGTCAACCTTCTCTGCCTTCAGATAAATTATAAGTCATCCTTGGTTTCGGCCCTAGTAGAAACCTTCAGGAAACTAATTAACTTTTAGTTACTGAAAGCAAAGGTCAATACAGTTCTTTGTGTGAAAGAGAATGAATGTTGTCAGTATGTTAATCTGTAGTATTTGTCACACTCTGAGAATAGTTGCTGACCCAGGTCATCTGACAATGTTATTTTGTTATTGGAAGCTTGGATTTTATAAACTACAGAAATCCAACAGTAAGTAAAATATTTGGTGTTACATTTTCTGAAATGCAAAACATACTAGACTCTGGTTTAGAATAAGCAGTTATTCTCAAAAACATCTAAAGGCAGCCTTGTAGCATTCAATGTTTAACAGTATCTGTGAATGGATGCTTACAGTGCTTAGGTGCAGAAAGGTTGCTCCCATGCTAGCAAATTAGGATGCATTTCTTTTTGTTTACACTTAATATCCTGCCACCAGAATTTGGTAATAATTATGACTCTGCAGAATGCAACTCTGTAATGATAAACAGAATAAATAGGAATGTTTCCGAGAAGAGAAAAGAGATCCAGCTTTGAATTCAATCCTGAGGAAGAATAGAGGAAGGACACCTCTCTTTTAATGTTGGAATTTGTTCATTCTTCACTGACTGTACTGACTTAGGCATTGTCACTTGTGTCTTCACTAGGTGGATGTGAAATGCTACCGAGTTAAAATAATAAAGTCTTATGTTTCTTCTGCATAGATGTAAAAGACTAGAAGAGGCAGTGGAAAGTTGGAACCTTTCATTATTTACCATACTGCATACTCTTATGCTATGCCAGAACAATCAGTGGATAATATAAGGGTCTTCTAGTTTGACATAACCTTGCAGCACAAGTACTAAGCTAAAAATTCTCACCACTTGAACCTGTCTCTAGAGAGCTTTGAAACCAGCTGCTGAAACCAGGGATCTGAGCACCCAGTTCCTACCGAAATTAGAAGTTACTTCAAATTAGGCTTAAAGTGAATTGCTTATTTCAGTCACCAAGGCCACACGCAAAATCTTCAGTGCTTATTAAACAAATGGCTTTGGCCCAACAGAGTGTGGAAAAAATGAAGTGCTGCTTGAGATTTTTAAGAGTAAATATTAATTTGCAAGTTTTAAAATAATTATTCTCAAAATATTAAAAAAAAAAATTATTTAAATCTCTTACTATTCCACACTTCTTAATATTTTGTCCTCCTTAATGTGTCTTAAGCCGAGGACCAAAACAGCAGTAAATCATAGCAAGCATTTGCTGGCTAGAGCCCAACTTGATCCTCAAGTCTCGTGATCAGTTTACAGGCAATATCCAAAATACTACAGTTTTGTTAAAAACCCAAAACATCCCAAAAATTTACAGAAAACGTAAGTTTTCCAAGATTATTTTTTCAAAGGTTGGGGTTTTTTTTTTGACATTTTCTGTGAAAAAGGGCATATTACAACATATTTTTTAAACTTCACCAATGCTGAGCTGTGCAACATAACTTTACTATAGTAGGAAGAAACTGTATCCCAGTCATTGCTACTGTGAAAAGAATTGGCTTTAATGCTTTAGAAAATAACTCTCCTAAATCTAAGCATTGGATTAAAGTGTTTGGAAAAAAAAATACCTGCTGGTTTTTGTAGGGCTAATTCACAGCACTTCTTCCAGTAAATATTAAGAAATGGCAACTATCACCTGTCATAATCAGTGGCATGAAAACCTAACAGGACATCCTGGATTCCTTCATCTGAGTAACACTTGTTAAACCTGCTGTTCTCATATCCAGATCATGTGCTGTACTGGGATGACCCAGCACAGAGTTTGATTGCACAAATTTAAGTTCTGCTCCATTAAAAATAAAGTTACATCAAAGAAAAGAATTTCCTCCACACACCTTCAAGTAGAGAAGCTCCAAATACATTACTGAGCAGTATTTGATATCTTGCTGATATAAATCTTTTATATCCACTACTGTAATGTTTGATTTGATTTCATTTCAAACACATTTTTGGTTAAGTAACGATGCATTCTCTTGCTGACAATTGTTAATAAAATGTCCCCACTGACACTGTCCAGATCATATCCTCTGGAAGGCTGCACTGTTATCTTCCCAGATCTGATTTCTCAACATTATTAGTACTTGAATGCAAGGCTGAGCAGTGGCATCTCTGTAACAGTGTGTCAAAAAAGTAAATATGTCAGACAGGACTCCTTATCATGCTATAGTGGGGGCATAATTTTAATTACCATGGAAAAATTATGAGTCAGCGGCCAAGTGATTAGAGTGCAGTTTGGTTATTTACTCTTCAGTAAACAATCTTGTCAGAGAATCCAAGTCTGCAAGCATATTTTAATAAAATGTCATTAAAACTTTAAATGATGCACCCAATTTAGATATTATATAACTAAATTAGTAAACACTTCAAGTTTTTTGATTTCCATTCTATCAATCTAACATAAAACACAGCACTGGTGAAAATTAAATGTTTCAACATCTTCATTTCATGTCAGATTGTTTTGTGCTCAGTCCAAAACTTACCACTTTCTATGGGAAGAACTCAATTACAAAGGAAGCAGCTGATCAGGTCAGAGATGTTCTTTTAATTGCAGATATAAGATTATTGTGTAGCATCTGTGATCTGATGATTGTGCTGTTGCTGCCGTCCTCAGTCCCTTCCATAGTCCAAGTTGCTTTTGAGGGTCAAAGAGGCTGTTCAAACCAGTTCTCTCAGTCCCATTCAATTCCCCTCTACTCCTGGCTGTTGCAAAACGAACCAAGGCATCTTCTGCACTGAGTGAAGTACTTAGTGTGTTGGAACAATATGAATGACATTGCCAGGGAAGCTTCCGAACAAGCTTTTTCTAAGAGAAGCTGAGAATTCCTCGTTTAGTATGTGTAAATAAAATTGCCATGAGCTATTTTTAAGACCTAGATATTTCTCTAAAACTGTATGATGAAAGGTACTGACTTCATTCCTCAGGATTGGGGTCCAAGGGTGAATAACTGTGGCACAAGGCCCACCA